TTCGGTCAGTAGATACCTAAGATGTTTGTGTTTGCAAGGATAACTTTTATTCGTTTTAAATTTCATTGAAATCGTTCGATAACATCAAAAATAGCGTGCGCCCCGGGATCCCGGGGCGGCGAACTGTGCGGTTCTCAATGGACGCGATCTGCAGCTCTATGGCCGCAACGTAATATCAAAATAGCTTAAGCGGCCAATAAGAGCTGCTAAACTGCAGCAAGGGAAGAGACAGATTTAATAGTTTTCTTGCCAACTGGGCATGGCCTGCCGTCTTGAATAACCGAACAATACCTGCGTATTGATACATGTATATGGCAAATGACAGCGTGAAAAGTCATGTGTGGCAGAGCCTGTTAGCCTGTGTTAGCCTGCCTGCGCTAAGAACTCTGGGATGGTTCCCAGAGTCCTTTGCGTGAAACGCTTGCACAGAGAACCAGCAAAGCCAGTTAGTTGCAGTTGACAGAAAAAAAGAAATTTCAAAACAAATTAAATGTACATTGTATATATTTTTTTTCACTCCTTCACTTAATATATATGTATTTCGAAAAAAAATATTCAAATTAAATTTTATACTTTTAGCTCAATATCAAACATACCACCAAAGCAAAGTTTAACGACCACCACCCTTTAATAGATCAAATTTTAATATAATAATAATAACTTTATTACACAACTTAACCATCTGTGGGTTTAGTAAGGTAAAAAATGATTACAAAAGACAAATAAAATAAGACACACTAAAACACAAAAATTAAAATACACTGAAATTCAACAAAATAAAGAAATACAAATTAGAAAATCTCTGAAAAATTGATTAAACAGCAGCAAGGTTCTCCCAGACTACAGTTACATATTTAACTTTTAGAAAATTGTATTTTTTAAATAATATGACAAAGCCATATTATTTCCCATTATTTTCACAAAGCTTTCCATTCTGGACAAGTCATTAATTTTTATTTTAAAATACTTCTCTACTTCATAGAAATTGCAATCTAAGATGAAATGCATTTCATTTCATCTTCAATTTGATCTGAATTGCATTTTTTGCAAGTTCTTTCATTTTCTGGGGTTTTTGGTTTACTCTTTCTTCCCAATTCAATTTCAAGGTTGTGGTCACTGAGCCTGAACTTTGCTAACACTCTACGTTGGCTGAAGTTTTTCATTTCATTTAGATAGTTTTCTAATTCAAATTTTTGTTTAAATATACTATATGTTCTAAGTTTGTTCCCCTCTTTTTTATTTAATTGTTTTCTCCATGATTGAATAAATTCAATTGATAGCTTTGTTCTTACAACATTGGTTAGTTGATTAATATTGTTGATCTTGTAAGTTTCTTTTATTTTAGACAAGTTTTTTTCTCCAAAAATTGTTTTTATTTGAGTAATCCAGGTAGAATTATTTTGTATTTCCTTTAATGCACATTTCAATATGTGATTTTCAGGAAGCAAATTTATTCTGTACCAGTATTTAACCTTTGAAACCATTGCATTTATTCTTACTGGTAATCTACCTAGTTCACCCCTTATACCAGCTGATGGTGTAAATTTACTAACACCAAGAATAAAACGATAATAATTATTACAAATATGCTCTAGGTTATTTGTGTCATTTGTTAGTTCACCTGCCCAAATTTCTGACAAAATAAATAGGGGGATTTGTCTTGCCTCTTTTAAAACATGGGAGTGCACCTCGATCTATTTTGTTTAAATAGCAAAATGCAGATTCACGAGTCAAATTTCAATTTGTGAACAGCATGTCATACTTATATCTATCAAAGTTATTTGTTATTCCAGGGTTTGATCATTTTGAAAATTTGAGGGCTTGTGGCAGATTTTGTGGGGTTTTAAAAAATTGTTTTGATGCAGACATCAAAAAAAAGTAATTACGCCACCTTGGTATAAAAATTGTTTTGGAAAATTTAGGTGGAAAATAAAGTCAGTCTGCAATGTTTATTTAAATAAGCAGCCTCTCGACTGAGATAGCTCCGCTGTTAGCAATGCACTTTTCAATAAAAGAACTGCAGATATCATTAGAAAATGAACAAATCTGAGAGAGTTAACTACATGTAACACATGAAAGCAAGAAGTCGAAAATATCACTTTTACCAAAAATGGCAAAAATATTCATCAAAATTAGAGAATTGAAGATATCACCACGAAAAGAACAAATCTAAGAGAGGTCCAACCAAGGTACATATACACCAAGTATCAAAGCATTCAGGCTTGCAGTTTTCAAGAAGAAGTCGAAAAAGTAAAACATTGACACGGACGACGGACAATCACTCATATGATAAGCTCCGTCGACAAAGTCAACAGCAGAGCTAAAAAGTTGATGCGGACACCGACAGACAATCACTCATATGATAAGCTCCGCTCAACGAAATCGACAGCGGAGCTAATAAAGAGAATATCAAAATTCGGGACCCATGATATCATATTTATTAAACAACTGTAGTAATTTTTACAAGTTCCAAGCCTGCTGCTTAACACATGCATGTATGCATTTCCAGGTGTTTTACCAGCAGAAACTAACATTAGAATAGTTACTCATTTGCATGCAGGAAAAATGTTCCTTGCACATACTTTGCAGCCAGTTTACCACCTGCAATTAAACAATATTTATTTTAAGACAATGTATTTATATGGAAACACATTGGCAACATTTTTACAAAATTGTGGGCTAGTTCTATCAGCAGTCTTCGCAGTACGATTGATCATGGTTCATGCAGATTTCACAAAAGAAATAATTTTTAATACACGACTTTACATCACTGATACTGCATATGATAAAGTATTATCTTCGTAAAAGTGCGTTTATGTCATTTAACCTGATTTTGTATTGTAGAGTAGCGTAGCAAGTTTGACAGAAACGTAATAAATAATTACATACATGTATATTTAATTTACTTCCTACAATTTATGGAGCAGTGACAATACATTGAACTACTGTAGAATACTTTATTTTTGCTTGGAATTTATTTTCTATATTTCACATTCAACTTGTCAAAAATCAGTGAAAATAAATACCAAACAAAACACTCAAAAAGCCTTTTCAGCGAAAATTAATTCTAGCTAAAATAAAGTATTCTACAGTATTTCATTTCACATTTCGGAACATGCAGCTTAGTTTCCTGTGTGAAATATGCACAGAATGAAAAATTGTGATGTTAGAATAATAAAAAAACATATCTGGCCATCGTGCACATCAGTTCAAAAAGAGTTCACTCACAATTCTTTCTGGTTTGTCAAAATATTTTAAAAATAAATCAAAGAAAGCTTAGAAAGAACTCCCATGTGCTGAGAGTATTGGAGACACATTAAATATAATTCAAAATTACTTGTACTTGATTGAGATAGTGATGGAAAAGCTGAAAACTAATAATGCAAATCAGATAATTAATATGAACAGATTTGAGTGTAAAACTAATGAGGTCTGCGCAATGTAACAGACCATCTATGTACCAAGTTTTATTGAAATGTGATTGGAACCAAAAAAATTATGAATTATTATGCTAATTAGGGAATTAATATAAACAGAATTTAACCCCAAACAAATCAGGTTTGTACATTGTCCTAGAGCATCTTTGTACCAAGTTTCATTGAAATGGAATAATTAGTACTTTAGAAATCAGTGTGATAGCTTAAAAGTGTTTAATTATGCAAATTAGGTAATTAATATGCACAATTATTTACCCTAAAACTAATCAGGTCTCTGGATAGTCCTAAAGGATCTATGTACCAAGTTTCATTGAAATGTGCTGATTAGTACTTGAGATATCTGTGGAAAAGCTGAAAAATAACTAATTATGCAAATTAGGTGATTAATATGCACAAATATTTATCCCAAAAAATGAATCTCTGCATAGTCCTTGAGTATCTATGTACCAAGTTTCATTGAAATGTAATGCTTACTACTTGAAACATCAAAAGCTGAAAATTAATTAATTATGCAAATTAGGTAATTAATATGCACTGATATTACCCTAAAAACTATCAGGTCTGTGCAGTGTCCTATGACATCTATGTACCAAGTTTCATTGAAATGTGATGATTAGTACTTGATCAGTTGAAAAACCGAAAATTCACTAATCATAATGCAAATTAGGTAATTAGTAATTAGGTAATTTTTACCAAAAACTAATCAAAACCTAGCATTAGTTCAGAGCAGCTATGTACCAAGTTTCATCAAAATCCAATGAGTGGTTGTTTAGATATCAGTGGAACAGTCATGGAACAGCTAAAAATTTGCTATTTATCATGCAAATTAAGTAATTAATATGCACGGAGTTTTACCAAAAACTAATCATATCTGCGCACAAGTTCAGAGCATCTATATACCAAGTTTCATCAAAATCCAATGAGTGGTTCTTTAGATATCAATGGAACAGCTAAAAATTAGCTTATTATCATGCAAATTAGGTAATTAATATGCATGGAATTTTACCAAAACCTAATCAAATCTGCGCATTGGCCCAGAGCATCTATGCACCAAGTTTCATCAAAAACTGATGTATGGTTCTTGAGATATCAGTGGAACAGACGGACACACATATACACACACACCCATACACACACACATACAGACACACACACTAACTGCAAAGACTCCCATTTTGTGCTTCGCACATGGGAGTCAAAAACTACAAAAACAGACATTTTCCGATCAGCAATTTTTACAATGGAAGGAATTAAGTCTACAAGAATAGTACAAGTACATAAAAAAAGAAAAGAAACTGCTGTGATTGGCTAGATATTTTGGTAAATCAGTCAATCAGAAACACTTGCACAAAAACAAGTAAAATCTCAAGAATTATGCACAATACATGAATTTTTGAAAAAAATGTGAATACCAGAGTAATTGTAATTGATCTAGTCACATAAACATGACATCACAAACTTCACAGACAAACTTCACTGGTACAGAAAACACTACTATGGATGACATACAAGGGTCAAACCATTATTATGGTGGGGGTGTCTAAGCTATAATTTAGAAACAGGTTATTTTTTCTTTTATTTTATTTGTAACAAATACCGTCTCACTCTGATGTACATTTTTTATTGACCACAAACAAGTTCTCAAATACCACACATAACTGCAAAGTCAATAGCTTCTTCTTCTGTGAGTCAATATTCAAGAGACCACACTTGCCCATTTTTTCAGAAACACTTTTACAACTATACAGTCACATTTCTAGGTGTTGAGGACACCCCTATATAGTAGAATGGTTTGCTCCACAGAGGTGATGGTTCTGACGACTGCAGGAATATACCCCCCCTTCAAATGATTTCATCTTCTATCTATGCCACTATAATATTTGTCATCTCTCTTCAGTTGTTTGCGTTTACAGCATGTGCGAGTCCGATGTAAATCTGAAGTCCTACAATTCCAATGCATCCAGTGAACAGTGCTTTAGCCAGAAGTAATGTCCATGAACCCAACCCAATAGCATGGATGAGAATCCTGTAGAAGCAAGGAAAAATTACATGGTTAATTGTAGAGTCATGGGTGTGCAGGGAGGTGGGCAAGGGAACCTACCAGTCCACCCTCTAATATGCTACATCACTGATGCGCAGAGAATTTTCGTGATGCAACTAATTATGCGCATTCCCTGGCATGACATTGAATCAATAGAAAATCATATACTGTAGAATATTTTATTTTTGCTTGGAATTAATTTTTGCTATTTTCACTGAAGGAATGATTCAGTGAAAATAAAATCTAGCGAATATATTTCTTATATTTTACATTCAACTCGTCAGAAATCAGTGAAAATAAATTCCATACAAAACACCCAAAAAGTCTTTTCAGCGAAAATTAATTCCAGCGAAAATAAAGTATTTTACAGTATTGAAACATTACCTTGAAAAATATCTCTCTATAGTTGAGGGATTTGAATTTTGGTAAATAACAAAAATCACATTTTTGTTTGCGGCTTCAGACGTTACCATTAACAAAATATCGTCTTGTTTTTTGTTTCGTGAATACCCTTTCTCTTCAGTAGTCAACAAGCTGACTGGTCTTGATTTTTGTGATCACCGTGAAAACTCTAAAAATTCGACCACTTTTAAATAATTTGTTTGGAAAAATGGTCAGGTTTTTAAAATACAAAATACTGTAATGATAAATTTTTGGCCAGTCAAAATTCAACAAATATAAAAGTTGGGTTGTATACAGTTGCATTGCAAATTAAATGTCAAACAAGATTACACACACTTTCCTGTGTCAACATAGAATGTCGCGTCTCCAAACAAATTTTTGGAGTAAAAATAAGTGAGCAATCTCTGTTGAGGTCAGAATTTTGAAGGTCAATAAATTACGAAAACCCACCAAACAACTAGGTGTTCGAATTTTTAGAGTAGGCGAGTTTTTACGGTATACTTTTGACTCAAAATCCCTACAACATAATTAATAATCAAGATTAATGTACATCAATGTGCCAAATTTCAAGTGAATGATCCAGAACATTTTTTAGTTATGTAATGTTTTGTGTTTTCACCACTTTCTCAAATTATGTGTTTACAGGTAGTGTAGCCAAATTTGATTTTCCAGAATAGCACCAAAACTATATGATCAGATCACTTTACAAACTTTGGGTGAAAATATTCTTTTAATAATTAACAATTCAGTGGACATGCGTGGCACCGGAGTTTTGCTTTTCAACCAAATACATTTATTTTCTAGGTATTGTACTTATCAAGCAAATGTTCCAAAATTTATGGAATATTGGTTAACCAATATATTAGACCCCAAAACATACCCTCATTTAGCTGAAAATCCGAAATGGGAACTATTTTCTCATCCCTGTATAAACTGCGGGAGAATTTTTTTTTTTATTCAGCATTCTGTTTTATACCAGCTCTGATAATGATCATTTATTTTTCTGTTCCTTTGCAACAGGATAACTTACTGTAAAAGAGTTAATTATTCACTGGGTTTTAATTTTGCTTATTTCACTGACTGGAAAATGCGCTAAATTAAAACCCAGTGAATATGTAAAATTCAGCATAGAACACATTATCTAAATGATAAAACCGTGAATTTAAAACCCACTGAATATGCCTGAAATGGTAAATCAGCGAAATTTAAACCCAGTGAAAATTAGTCATTTTACAGTAATATGCGCCTTTATTATCAAATCGTGTTATGCAAATGTCTACTAAGTTGCCTTTTTCCCATGATGCAATGCATGACACATGATGTACGCGTTTGTATTCAAGGTAACCATAATTGCACTAATTGCTTCCCTGCCAAACTCATGAATAGAAAACCAAGTAAATATGCCCAAAACATCGAAATAGTGAAATTAAATGTTTAAAAATAAATGATTTGACAATATACATGTACTTACTCCACAATGAGAGGTCTGTAACAACTGAGTCCTAATAACGTCACTACCACAGGTTGTAAAGATTTGTGTAAATCATTTCTACCCCATAACCACACTAACGTAGCTGTTGTGATGTGTTGTACCTGAAAATAAATAGCAAACCAATAAGAATTTCTTTACCTGACATATTTGGTGTGTTTTGTAGGGCTCAGTTGCAAACAACAACAATTAAACAAGTCATTGTCAATGACACGTCCCCGTTCCGTTCATATTTGAGTGACATATACATTCAAAGCAGATCATGACCGAAATGCACCTGCATATGTACAACACATTGTGCTAAATCTGAACAAAATCCATCCATGCATGACTGAGATCCGGTTCTGCAATTGTGAAAATATGTGATTTTGATGCATTTTCGGCCTTAAAATGGCCATCATTCCGCTATTGTTAAGCAGATCATGAAACAAATGCACATATCTATTTGTGACATGATGTACCA